GCATATTTTTCGACCACGTCTGCGGCTGCTTGCAGACTACTCGAAGCTCGTGGGAAACTCGGGGGCGCACCAAAGTTACCACTCGTGAAGCAGGCGCAAAGGTAGCAGTGGCGGGACGCGATAATAATGAGTTTTAGTATTGCGTACACGAGTGAACGCAAGCCCTGTGCGTTTGCGTTAGCTTTGCGTGTTCCCCACTGCGCGCGCGCGGACCCAAACCGCGGCCTTGGATTGGCGCATGGCGACTTCGCGCGTGCGCAGCGTGGAACACGCAACGCTAACGCAAACGCGTAGGGATTGCGTTTGCTCGTATACGTAATACTAAAACTCACTAATGATCTAATCATCCGCGTTCCGCCGCTCCTTGCTTTGCGCCTGCTTCACAAGTTGCAACTTTGGCGCGCCACTGAGTTTCCCCCGAGCTTCAAGTCATTTTAAAAAGAGTTGATTTAGTGGTTTTCGATAAGGCTCTTTAAGTTTCTAATTTTAAATATGTGTCTATTTTTCCCAATTAAAGATATGATTAAAAAAATTAATTAATCATTTGGCTTATGGCAAAGATTAGCCACCCACGTACATAATGTCCCCCTGGTCGTATAACTCACCTGCACAGACGGTATTAGTGCATCTTTTACGAATTTGTTGTAATAAATCCGTTCGAAATAAAAAAATCACCCGGTATAATATCGTAGTTAAAACACGCAAGAAAACATCACAGTCGAGCGCCGAAAACATTTCGGTGCTCGTTTGCTAAATGCACTAACAGGAGAAATGTCAGCTGAAAAACAGCGAACATCACATTCTTCTTCGGGAATATTTTAGATGACAGTAATAAAATATCAATAAGCAGTAAATTAACTTTTGCACGCGTATAATTTTCATTCCACGGTTCCACAAAATAATTTGCATTAAATCCCGTCGGTCGGACTAAGAAAACTATATATTTCTGCTTTTCTTGATAAAACGATCGTAAGGTTCCCGAGAAATGTAATTGTCTGGGTTTCGTCGAACGTTAATCAATTAGAATCCTTATATTTCCTTGGAAGTTTTTTATTCCACGAAATGTGGAATAAAGAACCGCGCCGCCGCCAAGTAGGAAGACGGCGCCACGAGGCGTCAAGAAAGGATGACGTAAATATATGACGTGATGCGCGCTCCACGGAGGAACGTGGCGGATATCGCCTTTCTGTGAATACTCTTGAAAATACCGGCACAGCCATTTATTTTACTTTGCTTGCGACGCCAGTATTGTTTCGAGAATATCAGCTGCAAGAAGCCTGACTCACCTTTTGGACGACAAATATGGCCATTGTTCGCCCAGTTATTTTCACTGCGGGCAAGAACCAGCGAGGCGAAGCCTGAGCCTCGCTACAATAGTTCGGACAAGGCACACCAGACAATGCTCACTTTTTGTTGTTAGCATCGTCCAAATAATGTGCTTGAGTCGCCGCCATGCTTATTAGCTTTAGCATTATATTTAATGCTTCGCGCCGATAGAGAAGGGGAGGGAGAAAAGAAACAGCAGACCGGTGCAGCCCCAAAACGCTTCTTATACCCCTAATCAACAAATAAATCATATGCATAGTTTACTATTTGGCATTGTGGAACCTACTAATAAAGAGTGCTGAAAAGCCGGCACTAAATTAAAATTCAATTTCACTTTATTATCGTAATCAACTCCGGGAGCACAGAATGTATTGTACGTGGATTATGCTTGGGTTATGATTAGTGTTCCGTGTTCTCGGTAAATACCGATAAGCACCCGAAAATCGACCTTATGCAATCTTATGCGCAGCAAGGACGAGGAGAAAAGGGAGAACAAGACACGACAAGGCCCCCGAGTCGGCTTTGTCGAAATCGGTGAAAACCGACGAACAAGGCGAATTCGAGCTGTAGTTGTAATGAAAAAACTCGAGCTTCGCGAGAAGAAATTTAGATGCACAACTTTATTTCCAGTTTGCCAGAACACAGCCAATAATGAACCGCCCTCGAAACGGCTCTTTCTTGATTAACCACGCACATTATTTTGTTTTCTTTTATTATCGGTACGGAGACATTTTTCAAGTATTCGGGCCACGCGCCGGCTGTTTAAAGGTTGGGCAATTTAGTCCGTGCATTATTTTCTTCAACATAAACCCCGATAACCCCAGATTTCTTTTTTTTTTTTTTCGGCCGCCAGAACTTTATATTTGAAAGTTTTGAATCCGCGGGAAATGTAAATCCCGAGAAAACACCCCGAATTGGAAGAAAAATAAACACCGAAAACACGGGACCCTTGTTATGATTTGTAAGGCCTAACTACAGGCAGGTTTGGGTTATTTTGGATGCATTCCACGCAGGACACACTCCTGTGCTCCCCGGCTTTATCAGTATGATCAAGAAAAGATAAATGTTTTCAGGAATGAAGTGTTTGAGCAGTACGTCTTAATAATAGGTTTAGATTCGTTTTGCTTCTTCCGAAGGTGCGTGTAGTTCATTGAGTTCTTCGTACTCGTTGATTGCGAGGAGCCCGTCACGTGGTATCATGCACCACCACGAGCTCGCCGTCGTGACGTCATACGTAACACCGCCGTAGTGATACCTTATCTGCTGTTGTGGTGATACCTTACTCGCAGTCGTGGTGATACATGATTTTTCTGTTTTCAAAACACGCTTGAAATCTTGGAAAATAGTGAAGGAAGCAGACGGAATAGTGGAAAGGAGAGAAGGAAACCTCCCCTCTCTTCAGCATTCCGTCTGTTTCCTCGTTCCCAGCCACAAAACTTTTCTGAACCTGTCACTGACTATAGCAGTTTCTCGGCGGTCGCACAATCGTTACAAAATAATTCATGGTAGAATCATTCACATTGAAAACTTCGCGATGCGAGGCTTCGCCGCGCTCTTGTCCGTAGGCTAAATACCCTTCTTGTGCGAGACGCAATACTCGGGATGTTTGGTATTTTCTCGACCAGGCGTTGGCGGGATCGCAGTGTAGAATTTCGTGGCATGTGAAATCAGCAAAAGGCAAATGCGATACGGTTCCGTATTGCAGCGGACAAGAGCGTGCGCGGCAGTATGCAGACGCGAAAAAGAGTCGAAGTTTTAGTAACGCCTATCAATATCGAAACGAGACATGACACAAGGGAAATCACAGCCTATTACTTCTTGTATTCAAATTCATATGTTGAGAGAGGCGATAGTGCGATATGCCGTGCCGCATGTCACTCGTAAGCGCAGGCGCCAGAGAAAGGCACGCAGTATAACCCGTAACTGCTCCCAAGAACGAACCATGAAAAATGGAACATCAGCAGCCCTCCCGATCTACGTCGATAACACCGGCGAGCGGCGAGCAGATAGTAGGCGTGAGCGGCGAGCACTTTGGCAGAATCACGGAGGGAACATCTGTAACAACCTTAACCCGCCTCTCACGGAAACAGATTGATCAACAGCACTGCTCGCTAGCTCGCCGCCTGTGAACCTGGCAAGTGCGTTAACCTTGATCAACGGGTTCACGCGTCTGACTTTGCCTTAAGCACCGTGTGTAACCCTGGCCATATTGGCCACTGCTTGATGGCATAGAGTTATTATATAATGTACGCTAAGAGTTCAACTGACCCTTGTGCCTATATGCGACTTCCGGGAGGCATATCGAAGCACAAAACCAGTCTACTTTTCCGGCGCCCCTGTGCATTCCTATCGAAAAAAACCTGTTCATTTTGTCTCTTCCACGGAAAAGTGACATAGATCCCCTTTGTTATTAGGGTCGTGACGAATAGTATGTACCTTCATTAACACTGTAAAAGTGTGATTGCTTCAGTTACAAATTTTTTATTTGCCAGTGAGCCATGTTAAACTCCGCGATATTTCAGGCCCAAACCTCTGTTCCATACCTGGTACGTAAAAACCAGCGACGATTCTAAGCAAATGAAAAGGAATGTAGAGTGTGTAAAAGGCTCTCCAGCATCCCGGTGGCGCTTATATATTTCCTAACTTGTGCTGAAAGAACGAACAACGAACCATCCGCGTCTCCGCCAAGTCTCCGCCAAGTAGGAGGACGGCGCCACGAGGCGTCAAGAAGGGATCACGCAAATATATGACGTGATGCGCGCTCCGCGGAGCAACGTGGCAGGTTTCTCCTTCGTGCGAATACTCTTGAAAATACGGCATAGCCATTTCACTTTGTTCGCGGCGCCAGTATTGTTTCGAGAGTTGCAGCTGCGAGAAGCCTCCCCTCTGACGCATCTTTTGGTCCAGTGCATACACGTGGGCGCATAGCCGACAAACTTCACTAATAAAAACGACAAATAAGAAGAATGCCATTGTTCGCGATTGTTTCCACTGCGGGCAAGAACAAGCGAGACCAGCCCTGAGCCCCGCTCATGGCTGGTCTCGCCGGGGGGGTTTCGCTCCAGAAAGGCGAGTCCATCTTCCGCTCGTCGATTCGGAGCGGGTCCCACGGAGCGGATTTTGAAAAGCGCTCCGGATCTACGAGTGGAATTCACCATGAGATAGACATGCTCGATTTCGGGCCAGCCACGTTGGTCCGCACCAGACCGGGGTGCATTGCGCGATTGCAGCCAAGGCAACGCGGGCACAGGTTCAGGAATTGACCACGGTAGGTGGGTTTGTCGTAGTGTTAAGCAAAATAGCGCTTTAGATGGGCCTCCGAAAATTCCCTTAGTTAATAACTTTTATTTTTGCTTTATTTTTCTACCTTAATTAAAGCTACGACAGTCTACGAAGAAATGTTATATAAGTTCACAATCCTTTGCATGAACTCGCTTTTCTTCTCTCGCTTTACAATAAAATAAATATATTCGACATGACTCAGGAGCTCTAGAGGATGCGATGTTTCAAGAACGCCAACAATTATAAGGAATAAAATAAGATGCAGCTTAGTTCTTTTTGTCTGTTTTAACTGGGAACGAAGTTGCGAAATGTAACCGTCGGTGCATATAAATGTACTCCTGATGATAGATGAGAAGAATCTTATCGTCAAAGTGTCCGAGGCCAGCCCCAAGATGGAGTTTCTTGTATATCTTATTCGTTTGTTCGCCACACTCATCGGGGTGCATTTGGTGGGTAAAAATCGTTTCATAGACGAATACTGGCAGCGGTCCGTACAGCTCGGAGCCTTTGAAAATGCTTGGGAGGTGAGTACCTTCTTTCATATATGATATGTTTTGTCGTTAACTCAATGTCATGACCGTCTGCCTCCATAAGGAGTCCTGCCGCACATTTGTAATATCCCCCATAGAAATCATACTAATTGTGACAACCCTCCAGAAAAAAAAAAACATTAATAAAACGGGTATAAACCCGAGCCGATCTTTGTGCACGTTTGACGGAGAACAAGCGATATAAAAGAGACTCTATATCCTTTTTACGGTATTTACCTTATCAGCTTTCATCTTCTGCACTTTTGCGCAGGAAATAATTTTTTCTTAAAAAGTAGAACAAAAATAACTAATACTTTCTGCGATGTACCGGTTAATTTGGGATAATGCGAGGATATATTTATTTTCTATTTAATATGTACATTATTGACATTGTAAACATAAGCCCTGCAAAATTTGTCATATATGCTGACGACAGTAGCCTATTTTTTTATTCAGATAATAGCGATGATCTTGTCACAATCGCCAATGACACTTCGTTCAAATTTGGGGCATGGGCAAAAGATAACTGCTTAAACATTAATACTGATAACACTAAAGCTACTATTTTTCGACTCAAGAATAAGTGCGTAACTCTAACGAGAAGCATTGTGCTTGATGCTACGCCAATTGAAATCGTTAATAATTTTAAAAGTCTTCGAGTCATATTTTCGGAACATATTTTGTGGGACAGTGACATTAACCAGTAACTTGCAAAATTATCAACCATCATAGGTTTGACATTCTGTAACGGCAAAACACTCCCAGTCAGTGGGAAGCTATGCGGAGGGCAAGTTCGTCTGCTTCTTGCGCAGGGGGTAGCGGTGACGTCAGAACGCCGAGCCCCGATTGGCTGATCGGGACCCCCTATCTGAGCGTCGTCTGCTCCTTTGCAACGTCGTCTGCTCGCAACGTCGTCTGCGTCTGTCTCACCTTTCCTGCGACTTTCGGACGATCTTACGCCAGAAATATGCGTAAGACAAAACTTAAGAACAAATTCGCATTCACGAAACGAAATTTTCGCAAGTTTTGCGCAGGTTACGACGAAATCCTAGGACAGCTCCGAAGCTGTCTTACGCACTTTTTACGATCAAATCAGCATGGCCGACAGCGTCGCGGTCGCGACGATCCACGGACGTTTATTTTTCTACGTGCGCTTCTCACGCGTCCCGACTTCAAGCAGCAAGGAAAAAGTACTTGAAACAGACCACGACGAACAAGAACGCTGGATCCACAAACACCCGGGAAAACCTCCAACGGCCACGATTCCACCGACACCGACGAAGCGAGCTCCGCAGTTAGGCCTAGCAGGCACTCCGCGACTCGGCGACCGTCTGCCGACGACCGGCTGGCGTGCTGAATGGAATATGCCCGCACGACCCTTGTGAACCCTTCCCGTATTATACTTTGATCGCTGACCTCAATTTTAGATTAAGAGGTCAATTTCTTCCTCTTGTTATCTCCTTCTTTCCCGAGGCAACGGTGACTCTCGCCGGTGAATCTTCGACAGACGCAGTAAAGGTAAAGCAGCCATCGCTTTGACTAGCAGACGTAAAGCAGACGACGTTAACTGCGCCAACCCGCCGACGCCGTTACAAAATGAGGGGTCTCGCCGCACACGAAAGGAGGGAAAAAGTATTTGGGAAGGAACTTGCGGACACTAACACGCTCACTCTCGGTTCTTAGCAAACAAACCTCGGCGCCTCGGGACACCTTGCCGGTGAGTCCTTTGATTTCCCTCCTTGATGCGCGTCTGCTAGTTATTAGACAAAAACAACGTACCGCTCGAGTTATTTCGTCGGCCCTCTCTAAAAGGCGAAGTTGAGCTCGCTCGTAAAGACCTGCACTTCCGAAAGTCGCAGGAAAGGTAAGACAGACGCAGACGATGTTGTGAGTAGACGGCGTTGCAAAGGAGCAGACGACTCTCAGATTGGAAGTCGCGATCAGCCAATCAGGGCTCGGCGTTCTAACGTCACCGCTACTTCCTTTCTCATGCGCAGAATACGAAAATGAGCCCACTTGCGAGGCGTATTAATTTACAATTCTTTATTCCATTCTCATCTGAGTTACTGCAACCTCGTCTGGGGTAACACCACATTCACAAACCTGCAAAATTTATTTTTACTGTAGAAAAAATGGTTAGAATAATATGCAACCAGCCTTATGATTTCCATACAGGCAGTTTGTTTAAGAAGTTTAGCTTAGTAAAAATTCATAGCCTTTATGAATACAGATTGATTCTGAGTTTAAAATTAAAAAAAAGGAAACATTATAAATCGTTGTCAACTCTAGCGGCATTGACACCAAATCTACACGTTCACTTAACTAGACACATGGAGTATTGGAAGGTTGTCTACTGTTCTACTAACTATGGTACACAAATGTTGCGATATACCATACCAAAACTGTTAAATTACCTTCTAGAAAAAGACATTTGCATTGACACTATCTCCCTCAAGGCTTTGCGTTCTCTTTATCTGTAGCAGTGATTTACTTCCCCTACTCAAATTATTCTTTAAAATTGAATCAATGCAGATTGTTGGGCTAGTTGGTACTCGGAATTCGACGTCAGGATGGCGCTTAAGACGAGGACAAAAAGGAGACTAGACAACACGGAGCGCTAGTTTAACTGTTATTTTTGAAGAAAAAAAAGGGGGGGGGGACATATATACACTCAAACCGCTTCACCTCACCGTCGCTCGCAAAAACGCAATCTCTTTGTCTAACAGGTTAATGGAGGCAACGCTGACACATTGTGCTCCAAAATGTTTTATCAACTCTGCTTCTATCATTTCCCTGACCGTCTTATCCTTGTGCCTGGCTAGAATCGCGCACGTGTTGAACAAGGGCCTGCATCGACAATCGTGACAATGAACTGAAAGACGACCGTCACGGTAATTATTAACATTCAAATTGTGCTCTCGTAGCCTATCACTTAGGCATCTGCCTGTTTGCCCGATGTACTTTTTACCGCATGACAACTGAATCACGTACACGGCTCCCTCTGCGCAACCGACAAACGGGTTTCCATGCTTCGTGCCACAGCACAGGGGGCCTCCGCGAAAGGGGTTCGAAGGTGTGGGCAAACACGGTCTTGTTTGTAAACAACGTGTCCGTCTATAGCGTACACATAAAGGCACCTTAGCTTTAACAGCTTAGACCGCTTGCGGATACCATCTGTCCATCTGTCTCTCATCAAGAAACGAATATAGTCACGCTGCGCCGGTATTGACCGCGTCATATTTATAGCAGTCGGATTCGCTTTTCGGCCCGGCAAATTTATAAATACACACTAAAGCGCACTACATTTGGGTGCACAATTACAAGGTGCAGCGGTAAAAAGAGAATGTGCAACTTACCTTTTGTTTGGAAACTCCACGTGCGACTGAGCCGGCCGTGTCGGTGCGTCGGCTCAGGAGCGCGGGACGAGATCTACGTCGTGCCGTCGACGCGCAGCTGAGTATCAGTGATTTTGGATTTTATTTTGATTTTATTTTTCTATCAGTCCTAATTTTTCTCAAATAAGTTTTAATCATTTTACGTGGGAAAACAATTGGAATTTTAATTATTAAATCTCCTCTCATTTTCGTCCTTCTCTTATCATGCATTAAACAATCAGTTGTTAGTAAGCGCTTGTCCTGTTCATTCTTTGTCCTGTCCTTGTCCTTTGCGCTTTTGTAATTAAGATGTTTAACCAACTAGCCCAACAGTTAATTTTAGCTCACGCTCGACCTACTCCCGGTGTCTGTCTCATTTTCGGACGGACTGAGGTTCGAACTGAAAAAGACCCATGCACGTTAAGGGTAATGACGCACTGCGAAAAAAAGTGGCCGGGGAGAGAAGCGCTTCCTACGGGCATGAAGGGATTTGCTAGCTTTTCTGCAGAGCTGGGCACTACACAGGGCCTACTAATGCGCAATGATGTGCTTGTTATCCCACGGAGCCTCCAAAAAGAAGTATCAGAGCGACTTCACTGTGGACATCAGGGGGTCGTTCGGTGCAAAGCATGAGCAAGAGATTCTGCGTGGTGGCCCGGAATCAGCAAACAGATACAAGACTACGTCAGCCGATGTAAAACATGCATTCAACATCGACGACCACCCACAGAGCCTCTGCTGCAGACTCCTTTACCCGCTCGCCCGTGGCAAGAACTCGGAAGAGACATTTTCGAGCTCAATGGAAAGAAGTACATAGCAGTCATCGACTACTACTCCAAGTTCATAGAGCTGGAAGAACGTTCACGAACAAACACCGAACACATAGCAAAAGTGTTCAAAGTGTTCAGCCAGATAATCGCGGGACATGGATGCCCAGAAGTACTACTTTCAGACAATAGCCCTCCGTTTCGATCGAACGACTTTCGGCGGTTTGTGAACGAATGAGGAGTCAAACTGGTGACGAAGTCATCACTACGCTCAAAGTAACGGAGAGGCTGAGCGAGCTGTACAAACAGCCAGAAATCTTCTGAGCAAATCACCCAATGTAGCACAGGCTCTTCTAGCCCACAGAACTGCAGGCCCAGAAAGTCTCTCTCCAGCGGAAATCCTCATGGAAAGGATGTTACGTTCAACAGTTTCGACTGCGCCAAATACACTGACACCTCAATGGCACCATGTACGCAAGTATAGGCAACAGTACGGCAATCGAAAAAAAAAGAGAAGCCTCGCCCTACAATTGACGCCACCATACAAGAGATCGCAGTACGATACCTCCTCACTCAGAGGTGTGGATACGCTATTGGCGATCTTTCATCTTCGGGTCGCGGGCGCGCCATCTTTTGCACGAGAAACTTCTTGCTCTGCAAAACGGGGGACAGTGTCGAACAGCCTATGCCGGAATGACGAATTCTTTGGCGATTTCCGAATTGGGCCAGCCACTTTTCTCAACCTCAAAGATCTAAGCGGCTTTCGGTAAACACTACCAAACTCCCATACGACACACGTGTTGTACTTATACTACCAGAGGAGTGAAAATTCCTATACCGCCCATGGAACGCG